CACTCATTGGCTTGCTGATGGCCTGCTGCTGCGGCGGTTGCTGCTTGAAGACGTTGGCTGGAAGCCCTTGGGGGAAGCCCGACAGCACCACGTTCTGCCCGGGTTTGCTGGCCATGAAGGTCAAGTTCTGCTGGGCTTTCTGCTGCTGCAGGGTGGCCTCGTTCTGGATGGTCAGGGTGGTGTTGTTGGAGCTGAAGGGCTTGGGGGTGATCTGGTAGAGCTTCTGCTGCAGGACGCCGGCAGGTTTGGGCTGGATGGGGGTGGGGGTCCTGTGGATGATGACGTTCTGGGCCTGCACCAGGGGGCTGCTCAGGTTGGAGGTGACAGTGAGGGGCTGGGAGCCCTGAGTCCCCGACACGCTCCCGAACATGGAGTTCCCGTTGAGCGTGGTGGTGGCCACAGTGGGCAGGTTCTTCTGGATGACCAGCCCGGTGCCCTGGGGCGAGACCCCCGTGGAGGCCAAGGTGACCTGCTGCTGCTCGGGGGCTGTCTGGGTGATGTAGCTGCCGACAGGCATGGTGGCCACCTGGGAGGGCTGCACCTGCTTGGCGATGATCTGCTGGGCTGGCTGGTTGATGGCCATCACCTGCTGCCCCACCACCTGGATGGGGCCGATGCCCAGCGTCCCGCTGGGGCTGCCGTTGGGCAAGCCCTGCAGGTTGGAGATGGGCTGGATGGTGACGTTGCCCAGGCCCACCTGCTGCAGGAAGGGCTGGACACTGATGGCCTTGTTGACCACGTCGGCTCCCACCGACTGCTGCACCAGGGCCTGGTGGGTCAGCACGGCCGGGGGCTGCAGCCCGATCAGGTCAGCCCCCCCGGAGAAGATCTGGGGAGCCCCCTCAGAACCCGCCTGCACCACGGGCTGCAGCGTGGGCAGCTGGAAGGAGCCCAGGTCCAGCTCGGCCTCCGCCTCCAGCGTCTGCTCCGTGATGTTGGCCTCCTGCAGGCTCTGCTGGAGGATGTCACAGGGCTGGTCTGAGTTGGGCAGGTTGGCCCCCCCGCTGGACGGGGACCCCAGGATGTCATCTTCTAAGAAGTCCAGGTCCACACTGGTGCTGGGCTGGCTCTGCTCGGTGCTCAGGTGGTTACCGGAGGGCTCCTGGACGTGCAGCTGGGGGGCAGCAGGGCAGGGGGGAAGAAAGAAGAGGCCTTGAGCTCAGGCATGGGCAGGGGGCTTCAAGCCAACTGGAGTTGGGGGCTTCAAGCCAACTGGGGTTGGGGGCTTCAAGCCAACTGGCCAATGGGGCTTCAAGGCAACTGCCCAATGGTTTTCAGGGGAGAAGGACCCCAGTGACAAGCTCTGAGTGTGGAGGGGGCCAAGGGCAGGGAGGGACCCCAGTGTCCCCAAAAGCTCTATCCACGTGTTCACACCTTCAGCCACTCCCTTCCCAACTTCCAGAGCTGAGGACACATCCCCTGCCTCCCTCACCCTTGTCGGGATGGGAAGTGGGAATTTCACATCCTGGAAACTCCAGGAAACCTGGAATTTTTCTGGCAAGAGATGTTCAAGCCACAGGTGAGTGAACCCAACAAGTGTCCCCCCCCAGGGAGAGTGTCCTGCTGGGAGAACCAGGAAAATCCCAGGGAAGGAACGTGCAGCTGGAGCCTGGAATCCAGCAGCTCTTGAGTTTGGTGGGACAGGGATTGACCAGGAAGTGAAAAATTGGGGAAAAAAAAAAAAAGTAGAAGCAAAACCTGGAGTGCTGGAGAAATGTGTTGGTTAGAAGGTGTTGGCAGCTCCACCCAGAGCTAAAAAACAAAGTGTGATGGAGGGAGGAAAAAAAAAATCAAAATCAAAATCAAAATCAAGGCTTTTATGGACGATGCAACCAGAGAGGGAGGGGGAAAAAAAAAAGGGGAATCAAGTCATGCTCCAATGTTATCCATGCAGGGCAACCCATGCTGGGGGGAGAGGGGTGAAAATCAACCAGAAAGGGGGTTTTTAGAACCTCCTTCCATGTATTTCCCCTTCGGCCTGTGAGGACAGGGAGGAACCCAGAGGGATTTTCCTTCTCACCCCCTTTTTTTTTTTTTTTTTTCAAGTGCTTTTCCCGGTTATCCAAATTCTCCTGGTGGTGGGAGGGTGTGGTGGGGCCTCCCTTCCTTCCTCCCCCACCTCAGTTTCTGCCCTGGAAGCTTTTCCCAGGTTGAAAGCAGACTTTTCTTTTTTATCTGCCCCTGTAATCAGCTTTTCTCCCCCCCACCCCATGTAAGGGGAATCTCCTGGGGAATGATCCCTGGGTCCTGCCTCTTTTGCCAGGGAAACAGATGAAAATCAAAGTCTTTTAAATTAAAAAAAAACCAAAACCAAACACAACAAAAAAAAACCAAAAACCAAAACCAAAAAAAGGAAAGGTTTTTAAAGCTGATGGTTCCCCAAGTATAAATTAAAAAAAATACATACCCCAGCACCTTCAAAAAAGGCACTGGCTGCATCTCCTGTGTTGTCCAGGAGATCATCACTGTCAATCTGTAATTAAAAAGATTTCATTTACTTTCTTTAGGTATAGGACAAAAAAAAAAAACCAAAAGGGGGAAAAATTCAAAAGAAGAGGCAAAAAAAGCAGGTGGGCAGGAGGGGCAGGGTCCCTCCCCCCCCAGCTCCAGGAGCCCCAAAACCCCAGCTCCACGTGGGGGGGCCCCGAGCTGCCTGCTCCTAAAAAGTCCTGGAAAAGCCAAAAAAAAAAGATCCTGGAACTTGGGGGATTTTGTTTCGTTTTTACTTTAGAAAAACTTCCGTGTTTGTTTAAATTGTTAAAAAGCAAAGGAATGAAAAGAAAAGAGGCTGCTGGTGTGGGAGTTGTAGCCCAGCCCCCCAGCCCCTCTCACCTTCTCAGATCCATGTAGGAAATCGTTCAGGGCCTGAGGATCACTGGAAAGCAAGGGACAGAGGTGGTCAGGGAGCCAGGTGTGGCACTAATTAGTGCATTCACTAATTACACCCCCCGATTCCTGTGCTCCTTCCACAGCTGAAGTTCCCACACGGAGGCTCCCGGGTTGGTTTTCCCCTCCTACATCCCTCATCCCCCTTCCCCTCCTCATTCCACAGAGCCCCAGTTACCAACAACCCCATCATCACTCATTAGTCATCAGACACTAATCAGTCATCGCAAAATTAATCAGTTTACCCAAAAAAAGAGGCCTGGGTAACGAGCAGCCCCAGGCTGGGAGCACAGAAACAGTTGGAATAGCTGGGAAAGCATCAGTGAGGTGGGATTCATCCGTTTCATGAGTGGGAGAAGGGAAACGTGGGATGCAGAGTCTGTCCCTTCCCCACTATCAAAGCTCCTCCCGCTTGGCCAGAACCCTCCGAGCTCCCCAGGAGGAGAGAAACCCAGAAATCTGGAAGGGTTTGTAGTTCTGGGAAGTCTGCAGAGCTCCTGGAGAACATCTCGGGTGGCTTTTGGCTCTGGGAGACCCAGCCCAGCACTGGAGGGGCCGTGGTGACCCCTGGGGATGTGTCCAGGGTGGCAGGACCCCCAGCCCAGCCCAAGGCCGGGGTGTCCTGGGGCTACTCACCAAATGACATCTAGCAGGCACCGGCCGTCTTCATCATCCATGTCAACTGCAAGGAGACACCAAGCTCTGGTCAGGAGAGCAGAGGGGTGGGGAGCTGCTCCAAGCCCCCCATCCCAACCACCACGCTTGGCTTTCCCTCCCCATCCATCCCAGCAGCAGGAAAACCACCGGCCCCTCCGATACCTGCTGGAGAAGCTGCTGGTGGCAAAGCCTCCCAGCTCCACCACGGCTCCTCCAGCTGCTGTCACAGGTGAGACAACTGGGAAGACAAAAGCTCAACCTCCATCGTGGTGGCTCATCCCTCAACCTCCACCACAGTCACTCAACCCCCCACCACTCCTGTCCCTCCTCCACCCTGCTGGCTCGTCCCATCTCTCCACGGATGGATTTCGCTGGGAGTCCTCCCAGGGGGTTCAGGCTTCACTCTGGAACCCAAACCTGCAGCTTTTCTCCTTGTTCTCAGCCTGCCAGGGGGGTTGGTGGCCCCAGTTCAGCTGCACCTCCTCGTGCTTCTCATGAAATCTCTGGAAAAGCCTTTTCCTTCCCATTTCCAAAGGTAAATTCCAGTAAAACATCAGGGAAAACCCACCTGCTCTTCCCATCCCACACTCATCTCAATCTCAATTTCAACCCAGAAATTCCCTTGACATGAAGGAAAAGGCCACAAAAGCCACTGACACACCAAGGACCAACATGGAAACCTCATCCAGCAGGAAGACGTTTCCCAGCCCCATTTTCCCAGGATGCTGGATGGTGTTTTCCCCACTTGGCCTGTGAGGAGAGCAGAGGAACAGATCTTGGGCAGGGACCTTCATGCCAGAGGTGGCTCTGGCTCCATGTCCTGCTATTTTTAGCTCCCGCACGCCGGGAATGGCAGTGGGATTTAAGGAAAAGCCTCTTGCTGACACGGGAAGGAAAACACCCCATTTTCCATCCCATCCAGCTCTTGGAAGGAGACAGAAAGGAGATACTGAGCAGCTTTCCTTCTCCCACAGCAGGGGCATCCCTAATTATCCCAGATTATCCCAGTCCATTGGGAAAAGTCAAGCCCAGCAGAGCTCGGCAGGGACCCACAGACTGAGGCCACCAGAGAAGGGACCAGGGTTTGGAATTTCCAGCCCTACTGTTTTCCAGCAGGAAGGAAAAGAACCGTCGCTGCCTCGGAAGCACAATTCCCACCGGGATGTGCCCGAAGTCAGGGGGTTTGGTGGTGAGAAGGGCCTGGTCACTTCCCTCGGGATTTGCTTCCTGCCTGCCCAGCCCTGGCCTGGCCTCAGCCCGAGGCTCCGTCTGTGCAGGAGGAGCTGGAACAGCCTGATCCACAGGGATTCTGGGAGCAGGAAGGTTGTGGGTGCCGGGGCAGAACGGTCCGTGGTAACGGAGCCCTTGGATCCTGCTCCTTCTCCCTTCATTATTCCCTGTTTTATCACAGCCAAGACACAATCATTACTCCTCTGCGACTCAGCTTCCCTTTCTAATGAGGGCTAACGATGAGAAGACACTGGGTATCCCACCAGGAATGCTGGGATAAGTGTTGGGAAGCCCATCCCACCCCAGCCCTGCCCTGTATCCAGCCACACACCACCCCTGCCAGGCCTGGGAAAACGGGATTCCCAGCCTGGAGATGATCCAGCTCCTGGCAGAGGGTGGAACGGTCTTGTCCTGCTGAGGAGATGCAAGTAAAACTGAATTCCTGACACCTGGAATACCAGGGAGACAAAATTGGGGAGCACAAAGTGGCTCTGGGGCACTTCCTGCCACTCCCTCTGCCACGAGCAGCATTTCTGTGGAGAGTGAGGGGGGTTTTGGGGGTTTTAACAGGGATTTAACACCTCTCTGGTCAGAACGTGTTGGGTCTGATGCAGCTGGGGTGCCCCAGCCAAAAGGTTTAATCAACACTGATTGTGAGGAGCCTGGGGGTGAGCTGAGAGGGAGGTTTTGGGCTGGAAAATAAACAGGAATTGGGAATGCTCCCAAAAAACCAACAATAAGTCACAATGTGAGGACAGACGAGGTAAAACACGGGAAGGTCTGGGTGAAATTGGGGTTCCAGGAACCTCCAGGTCTCGGGAGCCAGAATGTTCCATTCCCAGCTTTCTGTAAGGGCTCAGTGACCCCAAAACCCCCCGTTATCCCAAACTCCAAGCAGCCTCTTGCACCAAGCTGAGGTGCCACCACCATTGTAGAAATACAACATTTAAGCTGTTATTAATTACCTGCAGCAATTAACTTGCTGTCACCTGCTGGGCACTTCTCTCCACCCAGGACAAACCAAACACAAATCAAACCCACACCCACACGACCTGAAGACCTTCACACCAGCTTCCAAGGGGAGCTGGTTGTTCCCAGAAACAGGATTTTGGGAAGCTGCTCCGGGTCACCTGGGCAAGTTTCCCTTGCCTGGAGCAAACACCTCTTCCCTCCAGGCAAACCCCTTTCCTTCCTGCCACGGAGCAGGGTCGAGTTACAGCAAAGTTCATCTCCTCGACACCAATTCCACGTTTTCCTGTTGGTTTTTAGGTTTTATCCAAGTTTCCTTTAATCCTTTCCACTTCCTCAGGCTCCTGGGAGACTCTGGTCTGTGGAGAGCACCAGCAGAGGGGTTTTTTTGAGGGAGGAAACCCAAACACCAGGAGGCTGCAGGCAGAGCATCCAAGCCCATCCTGACACAAAACAAAGGGAATTCCCAAATATTCCCTCAGTGCCTTCTCCTCCACGGTGTCAGCTGTCAATTCATCCCCAGCTTCCCGAGGGAGCTGCACAGGGAAGCAGCTGGGGGAAGAACTGGAGGTTCCTGCTCCCAGATTTTGTCTCTCTCTGGCTCCAATGGTCCCCGTGGCCCTTGGGAAATCTCGGGAATAATCAGCAGCAGCTCCTCTGGCCAAGGATGGGGCAGCAGGGCTTCAGATACAGCAGATTTTCCAAGAATCAGATTTTTCCTTCGAGTCAAGATACATCCCAGGGCTGGAGGTGAAACCAAATTGATCCAGAAGGGAGAAAAAAAACCAAACCCAACGACTCTAAAATGCTCATTTTTTGACAGCTCAAGACACGGGGATAAATCCCAACACCATCAACAGGGATGACACCAGGAAGTAGCTCCTTTTTCTCCTGGTATCACCCTCTTTTTCCAGCATCCCGCTGGATTTCTCTCTCCTGCAAAAAAAAAGGTGTGAGCAGGGCCAACCTCACACCTTCCAGGGAAGAAAAAGCTGGGAGTGATCCCTCCCCCCTCGGGCGGGGATGGAATCCTGCCGGGAATCTCCATTTCAATGGGGGCCCTGCAGGAACCCGAGGGAGGGGGTTTAGGGAAAGGCTTCCTCCAGAAATCCATCCAGATGGGTTTAAGGAAAGGATTCCTCCAGAAATCCATCCTGGTTTCCAAGCAAACAAACCCCCCAAACAGAAACCAAAGCAGGAGGTTTTATTTTGGCGGGACTAATAAATATTTGAAAGATAAACAGTTTCGGGTGGTGGTGGCTGTTGGGTTGTTTTTTTTTCCCCTAGCAGAAACTTATAAAAGGCAACAGTTGGATTCTGGACAGGCTGAGGACAAGGGTTATTTTTAACAGATAAACCCTGACTCGGTGTTCCCACATCTTGTTGCTCTCCCAAGGATTTTTGCTGCCTGATCCTGAATCCTCCGACCACGACCACAAGGTCCCAGGTCCCTCAAGCACTGAAAACTGTTTGGAATCCTCTTGGAGATGATGTCCAAGGAGGGAATGAGGGAAACAGGGAACAGGTCCAGCCCAATCGTGGTAATTAGGGCTCAGAACCTGCTCCAGGTGTAATTAAAACACCAGTTTGAGCCACGACAGAAGTGACCCCCATGGCTCCAGGTTGGAATGTCTGTCACTGCTCTTCCCTAACAAAAGTGAAATGATACGAAGAATTCAGAGCTTCTGGGGAGCAGCCCTGGTCTTCCCTCTGTTTTCCCATCTCATTCCCTTAGGAATGACCCTCCCTTGCCTTGCCATGGCACCAACTGCCCCAAAAACCTCACAAATTACCCCAAAACGTGCAGATCTGGGGCTCAGAACAGGTCAATCCTCAGTGTTCAGGAGCAGGTTCTAAAGCCCAGATGGAACTGGACCAGGAACCAGAAATCCAGGCATTGCTGCCAATCATCTGAGCCCAAAACCACCTGAAATGGAGCATTCCTGGATCCTGGAATTCCTTAAAAGCCCAGGCTGTGCAATTCCCCTTGATCCCTATTGACTCTGGCTGCTAGTGCTCAGGATGCAGCGGCTGTCACGGATACTGGGATGCAGAACTGACCCCCAGAACCAGCCCATCCCCCCCTCCACACACCCACTTCCACATTCCAGTGAATAATGGAAAACGAGCAGGGAAAACCGGAGCATCCTGAGCCTGGCTGTGCTCCCAGGTGCTGGAACATGCAGTGGGAGCACCAGGAATTGCCTGGCCACTGTTCCTGGGCACCACCCAGGGAGGGAATCCCACCCTCAGCTTTGGAATTAAACATGGATAAATGAGCTTTGTTGCATCCCAAGACAAAAACCTGAGAAGCACAAAGCTTGGAGGAGCCAGGGGGGTTTCCAGGGAATTCCAGTCGTGTCACCCCCCTGTGCAGACAGAATCACAGAATGGTTCAGGTTGGAAGGAACCTTCAAGATCATCAGGCTCCAACCTCCCTGATGATCACAGCACTCCTGCAATTCCAGCCAGGAGGAATGTGGGTTCCCCATGTCCCCTGACACCGGAGTGCCCACCTTCCTCAGGCTCCACTGAAAATAGACAGGGAAAAAACCCCACTATATCCATCTTTTATTACATAAGGGGTGACTCTCACATTGTTGAACGGGCTCCAGGAGCTGCAGTCCCACGGACCTCGGGTAAACAAGGCCCATCCAAGGGGACACTTTTTCCAGCCAATGTTTTCCTTACAAACCCCGCAGACCTTCTCCTTGCCCAATCCCTTAGGATCAGCTTCCAAACATCCTGAGAAATGCCCCACTCTGCCTGTGTCTGGGCACCATTCCAAGGGAACAGCTCCATCCTCAGACCCCCTCAGTGG